CCTTTGTACAAATGTCATGTAACATCACGGTTGCTAAACAATGTCATTTTTGTAACGGGAAGTATAGATTTTGAATCCGGGACCAAAATGTTGTCTTTTTGGACTCAAAATACTTAAATAGGTGGGAAAAAAACTTCGTGATCAAAATATGTTTCAAATCGCATTTTCTACACTTTCAGTTTTCCTCCCATTAAATGGACTGGCTGCCCACTAAATGGGTCCCACTCACACTCTATAAAACCCTACCTTCTTCCTTTTAGTCTATTTCTTTTACTTTTGTCTTTTGTTTATGCTTATAACTTCATCAATGCTATATTTGTTTCCCTAACTTTTTTGTAGTTTCGTTTGTTAAGTACTACTTTCATGAAGTGACAAAACTTTTAGTATATTATTCCAAGAGTAAAAAACAAAACAAATTAATCTTTGTTAGTTCATATTGTTAGTCATTTAAGTCCACATTTTCAAGTTGAGACTAATATGAAATAAAGTTTAATAATCTCAAAATAGTAGTGTAATAATCTCAAAATTTTAATTTCAAGTCAGAACTAATGTCTTCATTTATGTTATCTTTGGTTTTCAAAATACAAAATACTCTTGTTGATTTCTTAAAAAAAGGATAAATTGTTCTTAAACTAACCCAAAGTTGTGTTAAACGTCCACCGCAATAAGAGTACATGAACATGTCCCTCTTCCTTTCATTTGTCCTTTTCTTTGACATCAACGAATGTAACTTATATTATATTATTAAATTTTAAATCTATAATTTTAAAAGTATAGTGGATCCTATAATTTAAAGTCTAAATCCTTCAAATTTAGATTCTTAATTCATCTTATTCTTATAGCATTATACTTGTTCGTCTATTAATAACAAGAATAATAATAATATATCCGGTATATTCTTATTAATATACTTGTACGACCATTAAAAGTAATACTTAAAATTTTCAGTGCAAGAATACATATTTATTTTTCTGCATACGTAAAAGAATATATCCAAACAATGTTAAGAATTAGTTTGTTTTTTTGTTAGTAGAAATTATTGTTTCAAATAAGATGAAGAGGATTATGGGGATTTGGGATATGGCGGGGAGGCAAGTGTGTCAGAGAAGGGTACTTACTATAGTAGTAGGTTTTTACAAAAATGGGAGCGGCAGCCACTGCATTTAAAGGGAGGAAAGCTTAAAGGGTAGAAAATGCGGTTTGAAACCACGTTCTATATATTAAATTATATTTTATCTTAACGTTTCAAACGATCGTTAAGGTAAAACGTATTTCATAATCGCGTTTTATTATTTTGATCATTAAATTTTTTTCTACCTATTTAAGTATTTTGAATTAAAAAAAATAATATTTTGGTTCCGGACTCTATAGATTTCACCAAACTACTATCAGAAGACAATTTTGGACAATTTCGTACGCTTTAAAGTCAAATTTGACCCCTTTCTAGTTCTAGAAAGAAAAGTAGAAGAAGAAAAAAAACACACTATAATTCTCCAAATTTCTTAGCAACAAAAACGACGTCTTTTTGAGATCCGCTTTCGTTGGTCGGATTAGCAAGCGATCGCATCGGAAAAGAGTGAGAATTTTTTTTTGGCGGTGTTATTCGCCAACTCCGAGGGCAACATCCTCGTCAAACGGTAATCCACAGCTCATCTCCATCTGTTTCTCGTAATCTCCCCTCCTCTCCCCAAAATATGGTTCACTTTCCAGCGTAAGCGACTGAGGTGCTTAAATTGGGGTCTGAATTTTGGTCTTTTGAGGGAAATGTTCTTATCTGGAACATTTAATCTTTAATCTTAGAGGCAGATGCAGCATATTGGCGCTCGTGTATAAATTGCTTATGACTTTGAACTGTATATAAATTAATTTTCCTAAAATGTACCCACTGTAACCCACACCTCTTCAGAATTGTAATGTTGTTGTTATGTGAAATCTAATTATTAGCTACACTGCTGAATTTAACTGCTCCAGATCATATAACCAAAAAAAGGAACAAAATGAAAAGGAAAATGTATTTTATTTTCCTTAAATATATTCTATTTCAGGAATTATCACCAGTGACAAAGCCAGATGTTAGGAAGGATCATCCAAATTACACTGTGCCGTAGGGAAAAAACAAATTTTCATTTGTATATATACATAAATTTTTTATCTTTCTTGAAATAATAAAGGATTTATAGTGTAGTGGCAAAAATGGTTCAAACATGTTTACATTTTTTTAACGAAGAATTAACCCAAATAGCTGCCCACCCAACCGGTTAAACTAAAAATACCCGGTAGAGGTATAATATATGCATAATTTGTGTAGTATATGTGTCTAATCATATATAATCAAATCTATGTATATGACTAGTAAAAGTAAACAGTGAATATGGTCAGCTATTTGCGTAAAGATCTTTTTTTTAATGCCCTTGTTAGAATTTCTGGCTTCGCCACTAATTATCACCTTATATTCATGGTTTCACGTGAAGCTTTAATGGAGTACCTGCAGAGCAGCGGCTGCATTGGCGGTCTTTCTTAGTTAAGCTGGGTTCAGAGAATCTTAGAGGGGTGAAGGATGAAGAACTCCTTGTTGCTTGCCACAAGTATATAAATTTGTCTCTCTTAATCTTTATTTACTTGATTTCCCATTCGGCTCGCATTTTTAAACATATAGCTGGAAACAACTGGGTGGTGGAAGAGTATATTGTTTGAGAAGCAGGATGACTTATGAGTTTATTTAAAGAATGTTTTCTCTAGACTCAAATTAATGTTGTCAGGCTGAACCTAATTAAAAGTTTATTTTGTCATAAGATACTCTGCTAATCATGATATAATTTGTATTGTGTTCTAAGTGGCTCTCTATTTATTTCACATATTCTTTTGCGCAGATCGGTTTACACTGTATATACAGTGCTTGGAGATATAAGCATTTATGTTGTCGGCAAGGATGAATATGATGAACTTGCGTGTAAGTGGTACCTAGTTCAGTGTTCCAAGGCTTCATCAGAAACTATTACTATGTAAAAAGTAAAACTGAAGTTTGTATCATCTCCGTCTCAATGCGAATAACTGCTTGACATTGAATGTTAGTTGTGCCCCTTCCATGTAGTTCAGAGTGTGTTTGACACAAAATTTTGGTGAATGTACTATCCTCTCCATTTTATGAATGAAAAAAAATATATACCTTATAAAGGTATCTGAAGAGCGCCTATACCTGAGCTTTAAGCGTATGACTAGTGTGGCACATTAGTTTAGAAAGCAAATCAAACTCTAGTACTTGGTTGATTAAATGAATCGGCTGGTTAGTCAATATTTATTATGCTAATAGCCTGCGTCCGTGTCTCTGTCATTTTTCGTTGAGCAGCATGGCCTCCTGTCCTGATTGGGACTTATGTTCTATGCTTGTACGTAGGTCTTTGTGCTGCTTTTGTTTCCACCATTCTTCTTCATCCACCATTGATCTTCTGGACTTTGTTTGCAGTGTCTGAAGCAATCTTTGTTATAACATCTGCTGAAAAGGATGTATGTGGGAAACCTCTAACGGAAAGACTTTTCCTGGACAAGTATGGAAAGATTTGCTTGTGCGTGGATGAGGTTGTGTGGGCGGTAAGAGGAATTGTCTTTATGTTTTGAACAATAAAAATCTTTGTTACTTGAAGCTCTCACACTTGGGATGAAGCTTGTAGAGGACCATACAGTGCTAAGAAAATCTATTTCTTTATCAAAAACTACCAATGTGATGAGAAGCCACATTTTTTTTTTTTTGAGTTGATAGATGAGAATGTATGATTTAGATTTTGCCTGGTGCTAAGTTTCTTGAAAAAACATGTTCTTTACCTTTACTTGAAATAGATTTTTAGATTGATGATCCTTTTTAGTCCAATAGACCAGAGATTAGATATTGTTTTGACTGTAAAACTCTTGCTGATTATGTTCTTTTTTTTTTATTATGAAGGGGGTGCTGGAAAACATCGACAAAAGATAGAATCAATAGACTTGTTAGATTGAAACCACCAACCGAGTTCTGAGATATATTTGTAGTCTGTATGTTTAGGCAAAACAGCTGAGGCTCCAGCAGTGCGATGTATGTTAAGTTTACAGGTATCTTTCGGATTTTACTATAATGATGTTGGTTAGCTCCATTCTTGTATGGTTGTAATACTCATCTTCATTTTAAACTTTGTTTTTGGTATTACTATTTTTTTCACTCGCATAGATGAGAAAGGTGATATCAGATACTGCTATGCAGTTATGGATGGCTATTTACAAACTATAAGTGGAGATGTGAAACTTTTTTTTTCCTTCTGAATTTTCTCTCCTAAACGAAATTGCATTTGTCCCTAAAAAGTTAGTGTAGTACTTCAATAATGCCCTTTGAATTGATTTCGTTGTGGTGTTGGACCTCTGATTTTGGTAAAAGACATATAGGGTTTGTTTGGTACGAAGGAAAATGTTTTCCATGGAAAATGAGTGATTTTATCACTTATTTTCCCTTATTTGGTTGGTGAGTGAAAAACATTTTCAGGAAAATATTTTTTAGTGTTTGGTTTGAGAGTAAAAAATATTTTTTATGCTATGCTCCTCACGTCCTTCCCCCAAGTCCCCATGAAAAAGAAAGTACTTTTTTTGTTAAAATGAAAAAAAATACACTTTTATATCATGAAAAGAATATACCCATTTGTTGAAATGAAAAAAAAAAATCTATGTACAACATGAAAAGAAAGTATTATTAATAATATTTTTATTGAGGGTGAGGGTGGGATAGGATAGGTGGGGTGGGTAGCTGAGGGTGTGGAGGTAGGTTGGTGGGGATGGGGAATAGAGTGGGGAAGGTTGAAAAAAGAGTTTTGGAAAATGTTTTTCATTCTCTTGATAGGGAAAATATTTTTTTCCAATTGGAGTAAAATGAGAGAAAAAACATTTAAGCCAACCAAACATGGAAAAATTAGAAATTTCGTTCATACCAAACACACCCATAATGAAAAACTCTAATGAGGGCCAATAGCAGCTCCATTCTGTAATCTTTCGCCAAAGCCTAAAAAAGGCCAATATTGTCAAATGAGAATATATATCCCAACAAGATCATCCTTTCAAGTACAGATTATTCATAAATCATAACCTTCTCAACTCATGAAGCATTACAAAATTTTACTTACTTAATATGCAAGCACCTTATTTGCAAAAATTTGAGGGATTTACGCTAACTAAAAGAGCAGCCCGATGCACGATGCATCCTGCTTCACGCAGAGTCCGGAAAAGGGCCGCAACCTAAGGGGTGTGATGGTCCATGAGACACTGCTCATTTTTCCTACTTGGTCCTGCTGCTGACCAGTAAGTCATGATCAACTTGTTTCCACATGCTTGACCATTATATTTAAGCTAGCTTTGCCTAGGATATATAACGACACATTTGAACATAGAGATGATCAAATGGACTTGCTCAAGTTGGATAATTCTGTGGGAAGCTGAATAATGGTTTCACCAGAGGGAAAACAAGATGAGGGATTGTTTAATCCTGAGGTTGAGCCATATGCATTCCAGCAAAACGATGTTGTGGGAAACTCCAAAAATGAAACAAGTTGGATATCTTCCAAATATAGATTTCTACAGGGGGAGCTATCACTGCAGGCAAATGTTATTGCATTTTTTGTTGCTGAAGATCCTCTAATACCCACAAAGGATACACTGTTAATGCTAATAGCCAAAGTCTGCATATTGGATATTCACGTTAATTATATGCACACGAACACAATTGTAAGAGAAGTGCAGAATGGAACAATTAGGGTTATCTATCCCTAAACTGACACTTTTCGCTGCTATTATCAATTTGACAAGCTAATAATTATTCAGCTTACCTGGTTTGGGCAGGCCTGTCGAGAATCACAATAATATTGATCTATTATAATGGGATTTGACACATTTTCCATCCACAAATTCGCAAAAGCAATCTTTCTGACAAACCCACTACCTCCCTGATATTATGAGAAAAACCAACAGGAATTGCATCAGCAAAATTAAATACTGAAAGATGAATACTGGTGAGAAAGGTGGCTAATTTAAAATGATATTTCCTATGTTTCAATTTATGGGTTGTAGTTTGACTGGATATGAGTTTAAGATTTTTTTTTGTAACGTTAAACATATCATATCACTTGTGCGATTAGAAAAACTTATCATAAAAGTAAAATTAGAAGTTTACAGTTAAAATATTTCCAAATAAAAAAAAAATATCATTCTTTTGCGGACGAACTAATAAATAGATAATGTCATATAAAATGGAACTAAAGATAGTACTATTAGTTACTCCTATTAAGAATATTCAAATTCATTGAACTAATTAGCACGTCCGAAGAGAAGCAGCAAACTAATAGGACTACCTGCCAAGTCTTTATCCTAACACCATTTTCTGTGTTGGAAAGATATGCTCCATCAACACTGACATCGTGCACTTGAGACCATGAGTTTGACTTTCCCAAGCTTCCAATGCTAAAATAATGTGGCATATATATCATCCATCAAACCAAAAACCTTAATTTGTCTATGATCATCTTAACAAAACAGTAAATTAAAACATTTTACCTTATACCATGGCCTGGTCCACAAGCAATGTTTTTGACCAAGATTCTTGAAGAATTGCCCACTATAGATATACAGTCATCTCCTGCCGGATTCAATTTGTGCATGTTACAACAAATTAAAATATAACAATAATAGAACATACTACTAACTCTGATACCAACATAAGGACAGTCCGATGCACAAAGTATCCCATCTTCACGTAGAGTTCAGAGAAGGGTAGCAGTACCCCAAGGGGTGTGATAGACAGTCTATCTAATGCAAGAATTAGTTGCTACGTTCGTAGCTCGAACACGTAACCTATAGGTCACACGGAGACAACTTTACCGTTGCTCCAAGGCTCTTTTGATGAACTCTGATATATACCAACATGCGTAGACCAAAAATAAACAAACCTATTTTCTATTATGACAACAGAACCTTGTTTTTTATAGACCAAAAATAAACAAACCTGTGCCAATACTGCTATCTCTGATACCAACATGTATAGATGAGCTTATGTGAATTCCATCTGTGTTAGGGCTCTTAGCTGGTGCTTGTACTATGAGATGTGATACTTCAACATGTATACATTTAGAAATTGATATATGCATTTGTTGACTATTTAACATCCTTATGTCCCTCACTTTCAGATTGTTGCATTTGTGGAAAGTCATAGCCTGTATATATATATATTATCATTAAATCAATGAATCATAACCATAATAATTATTAAAAGTAAATCCTTCTTAGATACATTGACAGTGTGGATGAAATTTACACTATCAGTTAGGTGATTTGATAGTGAAAAATTCCTTTTACACTGTCAATATATGGAAGTTAAACTGTAAAAAAAAATGAGGTCGGAGAGAAATAGGACTGACTGTTGGAGCATGTCGACAGGGCTGCCAAAATAAAAGATTGTATCACGTTAGACCTAATTATATGGTGTGAAAGAATTCCATAAAGCACAAAGTATTTCTATATATGGAAATAAAATTACATTGGTTGTATTAATTTTGCATGAACTAGACCACCATTTCTGGCCCATCCCGTTAACTGTTCCTCCTCCTTCTACAGTCAGGTATTTCACTTTAAAGAAATAAAGCCATTTATGTGGATTCAAACCATCCCAGACTTGAGGATCTTTCGGTGCAACAATTGAACCTGCAATCTTATAATGTATTGCAAAAACTTTAAAAAAATAACTGAAAGCAAAACATATATATATATAGTTGTGTTATACAAGTTATAAACGTTAGGGTTAAGCACTTACTGATAGAGACACCTTTGACCGGCAAGGCCCAACAAAATCAATTGGTCGAACTAGAAAAGAATATCCACTTGGGATTACTATTTTTGGTCGTAATGGTGAAGAACATGCGATTTTCCAGACATCATGAAAAGACTGAAAATATATAAAAACTATTTAACACACATTAATTTATCGATCCTTAAAAAAAAAAGGGTGGGGTGGGGG